AAATAACAGAGGTTAACTTACAAAGCTCAGTCGTTATGGTACAGCAACATCCTTGTCTCTCAATTGGAGCAATCCGGATTTGATGGGTGAACTGTTTGATGGATGGGGAATTGGTTGGACGGTCGCATCCAGAGGGTGGTGGTTGATGTCTCAATGTCCAGGTGGAGATTGGTGACAAGTGGTATCCCTCAGGCGACCCTATTGGGACCAGTACGGTTTAATATCTTCATCAATGACATAGACAGTGGGATTGAGTGCACCCTCAGCAAGTTTGCGGATGACACCAAGCTGAGCGGTGCAGTCGACACACCTGAGGGACGGGATGCCATCCAGAGGGACCTGGACAAGCTGGAGAAGTGGGCCCATGTGGACCTCATGAGGTTCAACAAGGCCAAGTGCAAAGTCCTGCACCTGGATTGGGGCAGCCCCCAGTATCATTACAGGCTGGGGGAGCGAGGGATTGAGAGCAGCCCTGCTGAGAAGGACTTAGGGGGTACTGGTGGAGGAAAAGCTGGACATGAGCCATCAATGTGCTCTCGCAGCCCAGAACGCCAATCTTATCCTGGGCTGCATCCCCAGCAGTGTGGCCAGGAGGGCAAGGGAGGGGATTCTGGCCCTCTGCTCCGCTCTGCTGAGACCCCACCGGCAGTCCTGCAGCCAGCTCTGGAGCCCTCGGCGCAGGACAGACCTCGTCCTGCTGGAGCGGGGCCAGAGGAGGGCCACAAAGATGACGGGAGGGCTGGAATCTCTCTCCTATGAGGAAAGGCTGAGAGACTTGGGGTTGTTCAGCCTAGAGAAGAGAAGGCTCCAGGGAGACCTTTCAGTACTTAAAGGGGGCCTGTAGGAAAGGTGGGGACAGGCTGTTGACAAGGGCGTGTAGTGACAGGACAGGGGGTAGTGGGTTCAAACTGAAAGAGGGTAGATTTAGACTAGATATAAGGAAGATATTTTTTACAATGGGGGTGATAAAACACTGGAATGGGTTGCCCGGAGAGGTGGTCAATGCCCCCATCCCTGAAAACATTCAAGGCCAGGTTGAACAGGGCTCTGAGCAACCTGATTGAGTTGAAGATGTCCTTGCTCACTGCAGGGGGGCTGGGCTAGATGACCTTTAAACCCTTCCAACCCAAAGCATTCTATGATATTACAAACATAAAGATACTGACTTACCAATCAAGATGCAAGTGCTGTATAGGCTGTTTCAGACCAGTCAAAGCCATATTTTACTTAAAGATTAATGTATTTGGTGTTTGTAATATAAAAAAAAACCCTTAGTGTTTTTTCTCTTGACTAATAATTGTGAGCAACCATGAATTTTAGTTCAGCTGTTTTTGTTATGAAGAGTCTAATCTGTGACTTTCAAGGATTTTCACATTGCTGTTGGCATTCAAGTAGCTCAGAAATTGGAAATGCCTGTGGAGCCAGAATATATCACTGGTAAATCCTTCGTGTTTGAAATTTAAGTTCACTGCTGCAGCTCAGCAGATGAAGAGTAGGGTTATGGTAGAGCATGCCAGAAGCTAAGTGTGTATTTGCATTTATCCGTCTGTGAGGGTGCAAGTTGTCTGTGTTGTACAGGTGTCAAAGGAGAAAATAAGCTTGAGGTCTGAGCAAAGGAGAGGGACTGGTTAGAAGGAGGGAATGGCTTTGGGAACTTGTGAGGTTGAAATATAAAACAGGAGTTGGAAATGGCCAGCGTGATTTAAATAGTTCAACACTGAATAAGTGCTTTTCCAGTAGATCCTGGCAAAGTTTTAATTTGATACTTCTAGTGTGGCTGTTCAGTAGTGAAATTACTGGTTTGCATCAGCTATTGCAGGTTTCAAAGGTAATTTTTAAAATACAAATTTATTTTAAAGAATATACAATTCATATTAGGATCCAAAAGATTATGTTGGTTTGAAGCTCTTTTTAAATCCCCGAGGCAGCATCAGCTGTTGGAGAGAAGTCTGGTTTGTATCCTAGATTGCTTATCAGCAGGCATTAATAACTTTATTAAAGGTTTCAGAGGACTTGTAGGCATTTTTAATGGGATAAGTACTGCAGGTTATTCATTCCGTTGTGAAATGCTGTCTTCTGTCTGAGAAGATGACTTTGAAGGCGGAGTGAAAATGAAGCTTTAGAAAAGGTCGAAAATGTTACGGCATCTGTTTTTGTAGCTCCTAGTATATTCCTAAGGCAAATTAAAGAGCTAAGCTTCAGAAAAACTAGAAGCAGCTTCACAAAAACTAGAAGCATACATTTGCATATCTTTTTAAAATATGGATTTGTGTGAGAAGCCTATGGATGCTACCATCTTCTAAAATACAGATGTTTGTGTTGGAAGCCTATGGGTGCCAGCACATACCTCTTTTCAGTGCTGTGAGTCTGTACAAAAGCCAAGTCTGTACAAAAGTAAACATAAAAATTATTCATCACTAATGCGTGTAAGTTAGGTTTGTTATATGGTGTAATACAGAAGTGCCACAGCAGAATTTTTTTTCTCTGATGATTAGCTCTAAACTTATTTAATACAATACAATTAGCGTCACACTGCATAGTCACATGTAACAATGGAGTAGTGAACTGTTTGTCTTTCAGGATGATACCTTTGATGGAAATACTGATCTTGTGTTGCGGTATTTTATAAATAAATCCAGATTTCAAACCAGATAAATCTTATTTGTAATTTTAGAAATGTTACCATTATTTTGTTTAGGTTTTGTTCCCATTCTCAGGGTGGTGATGACAATGGTAGCTCATTTGTGTTAGTGACTGTAAAACTAAGCGTGTGAGGACAAGTGAGGCTCTCCAAGTGGGAATTAAAATAAAATGGATGTATCAGATGGAACCTGTGCAAATGGAAAAATGTAGGAAAATATTTTAAAATATTCAGACTAGTGCTGGTATTTCTTAATATGATCAGCAAAGTGAGATCATAAATGTTTTATTTAACCAAAGGCATGGTCCTTCCAGTTCAGTTTAAGTCTTGGTAATCCATAGGTGACTGAAAAGATTTTTCCCATTAGTCTTACTTTAATGTGGTAATATTTATTATAGTAGGGGTATGAAAGATGCAACAAGAAATTATTCTCAATATTTCATATATATATGGAGATCTCGTTACTCATACATGATCGTTTCTGCTTCCCATTCTTATTTTTGCTTCAAGATAATGGGGTTTTTCAGTATCTTTCCACATACCATTTTTTTCTGATAAATAAACTAATGGATGCTGACTGTGATTTCTGGATTTTTTTGTTTGGGTTTTGTATGTTTATTATGAAACATTACCTACTGTTTAATGAAACCAGCTAATTGAAATGTATTGAAATAAAACGTCCTGCTATGGTATTCATGCACTGCGAATACCACCCTTGTTATTTTCGGTGTATTTGCATGCTTCAGATGTCAGTGAAAGTCGGCTCAGCCATCATGTGTATTTAAATTGGTTTGGCAGGAGACATGGTTAGAATATTTAAGCACTAAGAAGAATAGCTGAGCACTGGTGTTCTGAATAATACAATGAAAGATGCTTCTTAGTTAAAAATTAACTGAAACCTGCATTTTTAAACCAAGTATCAGCATATGGCTTCCATTTTTATGATTTTAGCAGCATATGGAATATAATGGGAGCACTGATAAGTATTTGTTATTGAACTCTGGATGTAGACAGCACATCACTGCAGATGGGCAAGCATGGAGGATGGGTACACTCCTGGTAACTTGCACAGAAAGGAAAATTCTGTATCAAAGAGAAAGTAGGGAAGTTGTAAATCAGTATGTTACTTTAATGGGGGGGTGGGGAGGAATCTGTGTGTACATTGGTGACATTTATTTGTGCTAACTTATCCTGGGAAATGAAGCAAAATGACTATTTTCTTCAGTATCCAAACAAGCATGTCAAAAGTAGAGAGCGTACAATACTTAAAAATGGTTATGTGACTTTCTTTGAAATGTCATTTGTGTCTGCTCTGACTGTAGTGTGTGCGTATTTTAAGATCTATATGCAGTTTGATGGAGTGGATTATTGGTGCTTTTTTTTTTAAGTAGGACCTCTTGGTGCTATTTAGTGTCTTTTTATTGTTTGGTGAGAACTGAGAAAACTGAATTTATTATTGTCATATTAGTGGTTTGGAGATAATGATGATGCATTTTCTTCCCCTTACCCTACTGATTTCAGTTCACCTGCGTTTATTTCAGTTTAAATATTAGGGCTTGAATTTTACAATGCTAGACACTCTCCAAGTAAGAGCAGTGTTGCTGCCTGCAAATTTTACAGCTGAACTCTCTTGCAGCTCAAGAGTGTATAAAGACCTGAATGATTGTGAATTTTTGTGCTTTTTTTTACTACTTAAGCTCAAATGTAAAGCAGTACAGAATTTGTTGTTATGTCTGTGTGTTTTATTGGATCTCACTTGATACAGCAGACTATTTGACCCTGTAATAAAGATATTTTTTCTAGAGCTACTGTCAATTGTTAAAAAGCTGTTGTCTAAGCCTCACTGAACCCTACCATATTGAAACTTTCACAGTCTTCTGACTAAACAGTTTTTCAGTATTTTAGTTCTTTATTTTAGCATCATGTTTCTTCAGTTAGTCAGTATTACCAATTCTTCAGCGAAGCAGAGTAGGGCAAGATCTGAGTTTTGAGCAATTTAGTATGCAATCCAAAAATCTGCCTAAGTGGTGTAATATTTTAGGGGCCAAACGGCATAAGACCAGCCATGTTTTCTGTGTGCCACTTACTGGGGTTAAGTAGTTTCTCAGTTGGTGTTAAGGAAATAAATTTGTCACCATTGTAACGTAGAGATTTTTCTCTTTCTTTTCCCCTAACTGGTATGTATTGCTGCACACTTAGGGTATGCTCTTACGGAATTTATGAAGGAAAAATTACAAGAGTATAGAGAAGATACATTTACTTTGCTGAGAAGTGATGAAAGAGTAGAGTCATCAGGTTTTCACAGTAGTTCTTAATAAACTTTATTATTCTTTCAACAGACCTCTTGGAAGTGTAAACAATGGAGGACAAGGAAAACCAAATGCAACTCCTGAATGAAAAGCAGGTGCCGAACTCTGAAAGTGATTATGTGTGGCATGTCACCGATACGAATCGACTGCAGCGTTTCTTGTGTTTTGGTTCAGAAGGTGGTACTTATTACATCAAGGAGCAGAAGCTGGGCTTTGAAAATGCACAAGCTTTAATAAGACTGATTGAAGAGGGTAGAGGTTGTGAAGTTGTCCAAGAAATAAAGACGTTTAGTCAAGAAGGCAGAGCAGCAAAACAGGAGCCCCTGCTTTTTGCTCTTGCGATTTGCTCACAGTGTTCTGATGCAAAAACGAAACAAGCGGCATTTAAAGCTGTTCCTGAGGTGTGTTGCATACCAACCCATCTGTTTACTTTCATCCAATTTAAAAAAGATCTGAAGGAGGGCATGAAATGTGGCATGTGGGGCCGTGCACTGAGGAAAGCTGTTGCAGATTGGTACAATGGAAAGAATGGCATGGCTGTTGCTTTAGCAGTTACAAAATATAAACAAAGAAGTGGTTGGTCTCATAAAGATCTTCTGAGGTTGTCCCACCTAAAACCTGCCAGTGAAGGTAATACATTTTTATTTACCTGAAAATACTCTGTTTTAAACCTTTTATATTTACTGTGGAACTAAGTACCATTGTAGACTGATGACTTCTTAGTGATGGTATCCTGTAAATTGCCCCTTAAAAACATGAGTCCTTATATCAGAAATTGACCTGTTTATCTTCAAGATGAACAGGGTTGTTCCTTCTTTTTCTTCCTCATGTCAAGAGAAGATAGAATAATACAATTCCCTCAGTTTGTTCCTATTTGCTTACAGGTGATGAAATAACACTACTTTGTTATTTGGGAAGATCTGTTGGTTTCAAATACATTAGACTCCTTACTTCTACGGAGAATAATACAGTAATTAAAACTACTGCTCTGAGTTGTGTGTGGCTGACTTTTTTTATAGCTGGTTGGCAGGTCTGAGAATGAAACCTGCTAACGGATTTGCTTGCTAGAATGATAAATGCTGGTATAAAGATGGTAATCCTGCTTGGAAAATATTTTTCTTTCCAATAGGAATTGCTGTAGTCACTAAATATATTACCAAAGGGTGGAAAGATGTCCAAGAGGCTTATAAAGACAAAGCAGTTTCTGCTGAGACTGAAAAACTCTTGAAGTATCTGGAGGCTGTAGAGAAAGTAAAACGCACAAAAGATGAATTGGAAGTTACTCACTTAATAGAGGAATATGGTCTAGTTAGAGAGCATCTCCTGACAAACCACCTGAAATCTAAAGAGGTAGGTAAACTTCATTAGCTTTGTATTCTCTTTAGAATAATGCTTTTCAGAGTCTTAAGTCTAGATTTCCATTAAAAAATAGCCCTTATGCTGTTTTTCAAGTTGTTTACCCAAGTAGTTAATTTAAAATAATGAAGATCTTCATAAAACTTGTACGTTTATTTTAAAATACACTTATTTAATATACAGATGTCAGCTCCTGTAGTTTGGGAATCTCATCTCTTTTTTTCCCTTCTTTTGCTTTGGTCATAGATTTGGAAGGCATTGCTGAAGGACATGTCCATTTCTGTATTGTTGAGAAATTTAGGAAAGCTGACAGCAAATTCACTGCTTGAACCACGAGGTTCAGAAGTGGCAATAGTATGTGAAAGACTGAGAAATGAGACACTGCTAAAAAAGGTATGAACTTCATAATCAGTGCCAGCCTTTGTAGTTTTTAATCTCTTCCTAAACTGCATTTCTTCAGGCAGCCTCTTTACAAAATAAAAGGGATGTTCTTTAGAGGAAATGTGTAGTTTATTCTTTTAAAAAACTGCAGTGGAATACCTGTACTGTTATTTTAAAACTTGTATTTATCATTTCTCATTTGATCCTGCTCCCTTATTTCTGAAACCTTTCTACAAGTTAAGTATATTGACAGCTAGGATCTTTGCTTAAATTAGGGCTGTGGCAAGCTTTGCCTGTTGGGTTCATCCATTGCTTCTGAGCCTTGTAATTTAAAATCAGCAATACAAGCTTAAAAAGTGAGTGGAAGTCACTTTTGTAGGGTGCTAGGAAGTGAATGCACAAACTAGCATAGCAGCTGAGAGGAAAAAAAAAGGTGGAACAAGGAGGCTTCCTCCTTTCAGATTGCCTTACTGTCCATCAAAGAGGTAAGAGAATAAGAGGGAAAAGAGGGTTCCCCAAAGGGAGAACAAAATTTTCAGGAAATTAATGGGAGATAGAGAAGACAAGTTTTGTGAGTTGGAGAGGTTAAAATCAGGACATGTAACTTCTTCAAGACCATAGCTGAAACAAGAACAACAACAGTGGGTCCTTTTATTTCCCCATCCCACTGCTCTTCCCCTTCTCTGGTTTCTTCTTTAACACGCGTACTTACTGAGGCACTGGAGAAGGGAGCAGAACACCTTGATGGAAGACAGACAATGGACAGGCATTCAGATTTGCTAAGATATGCTGCTAGTAGTGATTAATGACTGAAGCTCCCCTTGAGGAAAAAGATAACAAAATGTTGATAAATCAGTAAAGCAAAGATGCGGTTTAGAATATTTAGCATGTGGCAGCCACTGATTTGATTTATGTAGGGGAAGCAGGGGAAAAAAGGGGAATGTCTGGACTGTCCTCTTACAGTAAGAGGAAATGAATGCTCTATTCTGAAAATAGGGGTTGTTTTTTGTCCAGTTTTACTATATCTGATACAAAACTAGTTTTAAGTTTGTTCTTTTCCTAGCTGAACTCCTTTCCCCTCAGCAGGGTAGAGACTTTCTCTTACTGTAAGTCTGTGATAGAAAATAGCACTGGACAATCTTAGAGCTGTGAAATTTCGCCAAAATTCTGGTGACAGCATAAAATAAAATTTGAAATTAATTGGAGGATTCTGGAAAGGGCTGAGGTCCATTTACCAGTAACTGACAGGTATCAGTTCATACAATAGCTCTGTAAAGACTGCATGAACTCTTCAAATTTAACAAATGTAAAATAACAATATACTAAAACATATTTTCGTAGTAGGATCTTATTTTCAGGTTTAGTTTGTTACCTTTTTTTTTTTAAGGAGTTCAGATTTTCAAAAACTTACTGTTGATTTCCTTTTGCCCATAGGGTAGAATACATCCATTCCATATTTTGGTTGCATTAGAAACCTATAAAACTGGACATGGAAGCAGAGGGAAGCTTTGGTGGCGTCCTGATGAAGACATTTTAGAAGCTTTAGATGCCTCATTTTACAAAACTTTCAAGGTAATGTAGTTCTTCAGTTTGTTAAGCTTTTTAAGATTCCTCTGTTTTCCAAAAGCTTATGAAATCCAGAAAAGTTTGTTGGGTGGATAACAATTTTGACACTTTATAGCAAACATCTTAGGAATTGGGATTTTATTAAACAAAGAATCAAAACTTCATGATATATTCAGCTTTTGGCAACATTACTGTCCTAACATTGCCCCAGAAAGAATTTTAAAAAGGCCCACTTCTAGGGTTGAAGGCAGCAGAAGAAATTAATATATTAATTATTTGTACCTATTTTCTTTTTTTTTTCTTTTTTAGACAGTTGAACCAACAGGAAAACGCTTCTTACTTGCAGTTGATGTCAGTGCATCAATGACACAAAAAGTTTTGGGCAGCGTGCTCAATGCTAGCACAGTTGCAGCAGCAATGTGTATGGTGAGGCATTAAACTTCTTTTCTTTATAACTCTTTGCAGCCTGAGCTCCTCTTTTGATACACAGGTGCTGTAAAACTGGTTAGAAATCAGAAGGAAACTTACGTATAATATGTTCTGGATACAGAAGATGTGACCTTGCACTTCACTGGTAGACCAGATGCTTAAAGATACTGGTAACCAAATTCAGAAACATCAATTTGAGGAAGTTGGTTTCCAGTGTAAATCGAAGTGGTCAAGGCTGCTTGTTCACTTATCTTAGCTGAAAATACGTTTTAATTTTTTTCAGAAGCTTTCATAGAATAATCCAGACTGGATTAAGAAATTTTGGAGTAATTCTTGGGTGCATGTGAGTTATCAGTATGGCCTTGTATCACAATCGTGTTCCCCTCAATTTGATATTCTAAAGCTTCTTGTGTATATATATTATAAAGGAGTTGAACTTTTATTGGTGTTTAAAAATGTTTAGTGTTTTATGTCAGAGGGGAGAGAAGAAATACAGAAGTATGTTAAGTTACAGTAATTAGAGCAGTTCTTTAGCTCAGATTTTTGCAACGTTTATTGGCAGTAGTATTAGAGAATACTTCAAGTGTCGAGTGAAGCATTAGTGCACGTGAGGAGCCATGGTGACTGAAATACAAAAGGATATGTCATGTTGTGTGTTTGGTAGGGAATGCCTTGATTCAGACATTAAAAATTCGGAATAATATAACTAATTTTTTTTTTTCTTTCTCAGGTTGTAGCACGTACTGAGAAGGATTCCCATATTGTTGCCTTTTCACATGAAATGGTCCCTTGCCCAGTGACGGCTGATATGACGTTACCTCAAGTATTAGTGAAAATGTATGAAGTATGTAAAAAACAAACAAAAATTTAGGAAATAGCTGTTGCTGAAATCAGAGTTTAGAAGTCTCAGTAATTACACTGTATTTTCTTTGTAATCAATTCTAGTACTGTGTTCAGTTTTTATCTGTATAGTAAAACACTGGATTTTTTTTTTTCTCCTGTTTATTTAGAGAAAGTCCAGCAGATGTCATTATTGCAACTGCTGGATATTAAACATTGCCATTTAGAATGGCAGTGTTAACATCACAATGAGTTAGTTTGAAAACAGTATTAAAGAAATTCAAGCAAAAAAAACCTGTACAAAACTGAAATGAAATTAATAAGTGAACTGTTGTTTAACAAAGAAGCCTCTGTGTGTAATAATACATGAAACTTACATAAAAAGTAATTTTCCATGGTTTTCTGTATTAGTGTGTTCCGTGTATTTTTTTTTCTTTTAAGATTCCAATGGGTACTACTGATTGTTCCCTTCCAATGATATGGGCTCAAAAAACTCAGACAGCTGCTGATGTCTTCATTGTATTCACTGATAACGAGACCTTTGCTGGAAATACTCATCCTGCAACAGCTCTTAGAGAGTACAGAGAGGTAAATATGCTTCTGATTGTTTATAATTGATCAATGCAGTACACCATAAATAGCAGTTCTAAAAATGTTTTAGAGACTGAACTAGTTTTGGCTTTTTCAGTAAATTATATGTTGTTAAAAAGTGATATATTCTGCAGTTGTGCAATATGTGCACTAATTCTGCCTTAACTGTGCGTATTTAAAACCAATGAATTGCTAAAAGGGTCTATAATTATCCTAACCTGCTTGGAGAACTGCACTACAGATGGAAATTTGATATTTAGGGAATGTATGAATTTCTGCTTTCTATATATAATTGATTGAATAAGTTTTTTGTGGTTCTTGGAGAATGAAATTTGACTCACAGAATTAAATTTAACTTTGATATCTGCGATAGGTACCACAAAGTTTAAATGAAGTAATGAAGATAAGCCTGTAGGGAAGGTGTCAGTCAGATGGGGTGATGGTATATTATGAAGAAAGCTCATTATGTTTTAAAGGGGCTGCTCTAAGCTGTGCAGCTTCATAATTTTAAATTAGAACTAAAAAAAATGCCTTCTCCAAGCACATTGCTATTAGAAACTCTTATTTATTCAGCAAACAATCTTTTATGCTTTAAAGGAACTATTTTTTTTAAGCTATAAAGAAATACTTTTTGGCAAGCATGTGTGTATGGACATTAATCTTCGTATCGTGTCCACCCCATGGAAATGAATACCAAAAATTTTTAACTTCCCCACTGTGTTCTACTCTTCTTAGTTGAGATGAGCTCCAATTCCTAAATTTATTCTTTCAACAAAGAGTTCCTGTTCTCTGGCCTTCATGCCACTTGCATTGCTTTACTTTACAGGTTACTAACGGGTAAATTCAGCTCATTTAGGAGAATTGTCCAGGCCACAGTTGTTGTATTTGTTCAACCAACCTCTCCTATGAGGACAGGCTGAGAGAGTTGGGCTTGTTCAGCCTGGAGAAGAGAAGGCTGCGGGGAGACCTGATTGCAGCCTTTCAGTACTTAAAGGGAGCCTATAGGAAAGATGGGGACAATCTTTTTAGTAGAGACAGCAGTGATAGGACGAGGGGTAATGGTTTTAAACTAAAACAGGGTAGGTTTAGGCCGGATATAAGGAAGAAATTTTTTACAATGAGGGTTGTGAAACACTGGAGCGGGTTGCCCAGAGAGGTAGTGGAGGCCCCAATCCTGGAAACATTCAAGACCAGGTTGGACAGGGCTCTGAGCAACCTGATCTAGTTAGCGGTGTCCCTGCTCGCTGCGGGGGGGTTGGACTAGATGACCTCTAGGGGTCCCTTCCGACCCAAAACTTTCTATGATTCTATGATTTGGAAATCCTTGCCTTGAACAAAAATACACTCTTTGACTCCTGTTAGATGATTTGATAATTATTATTGAAAGTTTTCTCTCAGAATGAGCTGCAGAATAGCAAATAAACATTTGCATTTGAAATAAGCTATGATTATTTGGCCCTCTGGTGGGTTTAAGTTACTCTATATGTGTATTCTGATTTTTCTTTTTTTTTTTTGTCCTTTGTCTAGAAAATGGGTATTCCTGCTAAATTGATTGTTTGTGGAATGACCTCAAATGGGTTTACAATCGCAGATCCAGATGACAGAGGCATGTTGGACATATGTGGCTTTGATACAGGAGCTTTGGATGTTATTCGAAACTTCACTTTGGATTTGATTTAATTCTCTAGGCATCTGCTCTTCCCAGTGGGTCCAGTGCTGGCAACAGACTTCGCCCTGGGAACTCCCAGCCAAATATACTTTATTAGAATATGGCACATTATATACATATCAGAATGTTACCTTTTTGTGAAGGGAAGACAAGAAAAGCAGATGAGAAATCTCTGTTCTCTTTTTTTCCTGTTGCACACAATTTAAAATAATAGTGGGAAGTTTGCTAGAAGTAGCTACAGGGTTACACAATAATTTAATTTCATTTATAATAGATTATAAATACAGAGAGATTTTTAATTTCCCCCCCGCCCTGTTGCTGTGGAATGCTTGTTTGCAAGAATAAATTGATGAATTACTCTTAGGATGGGGCAGGAAAAAAAAGTGGGTTTAATATTTTTAATAATGTCAGTTTAACAGCAACTTCGCTGAGAGGGATTTTTCTTTGGGCTTTTTTTTCAAATCTTTGTAGTTTAAACAAATTACTAAGGTTCAACATATTCCATTGCTACACTTCAAACCTACAAAAGAAGTATTTTCTGGCACGAATGAGACCGCATGACTGTGATGCAGCATGAAAGTTACCCAGTGAAATTTTACACTGATAAAACTGAAAGTGGAAGAGCTCCTGCTAATCTTTTTCTGTCTAGATTATTGTCTGGGTTTTCAGGAGTAAAGTGTAATTCTCTTTAGATAAATTGAAGGGCAGTTTCTGTACAGTGCAGTTTCAGAAGCACAATTTTAGAATTAATACACTTCACAGGAAATTCTGAAAACTGTTTTCAGTAGAAAAAGACCTTGGAAACGGCTGGGAAGCCACATTCAGTCCACGTTACAACTTCAGGAAGCATCAGCAACGCTTTCAGTGAGGGAGATCAACAAGTGCACATGTCTTGGTCTGCTCTTGAAAGCCGAGTGGTAACAACCAGAAACAAAAAGCTGCATTTTCTTCAAAAGAATGTATTCAATGATACAGAAACAATCTTCCTAACAGGAGAGTACTTCATTTTTAAAAATCTTTTTGTAGATTAATGTTACTTCTGATTTCGTACATTAATTCAAGCTAACTTTTTTCAAAACTACCTCCAGTTTATAGTGACCAATTCTTAAAAACTTTTATGAAATGTACAGTTGCGTCCTTCATGTTCTCAAAATCTTGTCTAGGAAGTGATCGGAACTGGATTTTTTTTTTTTAGTCTGATAGTACAAGTGTGAGTAAATAGGAAGAAAGCTAGTGAATGACTTATCACTTTGGAACAGGAATAGATAGCAGTTCATGTGTGTATATATTTAATGCTGTGTGTGTGTTTATATATGTGTGTATGGGGGGAAGTTAAAAGATCGCTTTAGTAGCAGTCTTCACAGTCCTAAAAGATGAGAATGGTTTGTTTTTTTTAGTGATGCTTTTACAACTTACCCTAAGACATATATATGTCAGCCTCTTTTATGCTAATTCTGGCTGTTTTAAACAGTGAATTTGATCTTAATTTGAAAATAATTATAATTTATAAAAATAACCCAGTTGTGGTAAATGACGTGTAAGATCATATTTTTCTGCCTACAACCCAAGCTGTTAAATGTAAAATTCACTTTCGTATTATACTTTTGATACTTATAACACTTTTCATTATGCCTCACGCAGATTGATTATAAATTCAAAACTTTCATTCTATAGGATGGATCTCTCTTTTGGTGCTAAAATGTACGGTTACGTGTTACTGAAGGTATTCTGCTACATACTTAACACTCTACCTTAATGAATCAGAGTGGTCTGATATTAAAACCATGGGAGGAAGAACTGATGGTGGGAATTCTACCTTTCAGTGGACAGAAATGTAGTTACTTCTGAATGATCACTGCTCTAACGATACAGCTCTGGTAGAATGCTTGAAGAATCCCGGACTGCCACCAGCTTGTCGGGTGACATCTGGAAAAAACAAGTGTTCCTACAAAAGCTGAGAATTCGCACTTTGAGTTTCATAAAGAAAACTAGCCATTTCTTATGAAAAATTCCTTCCCACGTTTAGTCTCCTTTCTAAATAAACACCATGAATATGGGGAGTAAACTCATTTGCTCAATATATGTTAATAATTATTTCGAGTAAATGCACTGATGTTTTGGGGTTGGTTTTGGTAGTAATGTGTTTTAAATTACACAATAGTCAGACATCTGATCAGATGTTTCCTTCTAAGCTAGAGATGTTGAAAATAACTGATACGTATCTTTTGCAAGTACTTTTTCTTATTTGGAGTAGTATTTGTGAAGTAATAGGAAATATTTTGGACTAAATATAAAATGAAAACTTAAACAGGTATTTCAAGTAACTTTGTGCAGTTAATTGCATAAATGTACTGCAAGTAAAAGACTAGTTACTAACAGATTGAATGAACGGTTATAGTAGTGTTGCAACTTTGAGAGCAGTCCAGTTTAAAATACAATTCCTTGAACTAGTGTGTAAGTGAAGATGAACTTTTCAGTTAGAACTTAATAGAAAATGTAGCTCCCTGTATCTACTGACACTGGATAGCTATGGACCATGTTAAAGATAGTCATCCATGCTGGAGTACGTAATATGCTCTTAAATATTTACTGTATCTCTGTACTGAAAAATGTTCTTATAATGGAATATTCAAAGTGGTTTGGTTATCTGGTGTAAAACTAGCACCAATGGGAGCATGTTGTCATCTGCGCCTCCTTTAAGATTTTCACAGAGAGGGGAAACTGAAGTGAATGCTGACAGCTGAAACTTTATAGTGTGTTGACCTTTGTTTCTGCCATTTTCTGTCTGGTTTTGTTATTCTCTTACAGTAAGGGGCATAGAAGAGTGATGCTGTGTGTTCCTTTTCCATAGACTGGATCTTTTTTATCTGCCCGTATACTGAATTTTAGGGGACAGTATGACTCATTTGTCATAACATAAATTTGTCTGGATTTTAGTCTTTAGTTAATTAAATTAATAATTTCCAAAATTATATCTGCACATGTGAAGAGGCAATAATGACTGTAATGTTTTTAAAAAAATAAATAAGCGAGCTAAGACAATTGCTAAGCTTCAGCATTGGTTCAGTATACAATAAATAAGCTGCCCTTTCGCCAGAGAGGAGACATGGACTCTTTCAAGTCAGTAGGGTTGTTTGCATTGGAGGAACACTTTGACTAACAAAACAAAAATAGGGCTGTAATTGTGCACTGCAGTTTACTAGTAAAAATTGAACAGGGACAAGTTTAAAGCTAGTTAATTTTATTCAAAACATTAATTAAAAAAAAGGTCTGAAGGCAGAGTGCAACTGCAGACTGGGTGAATGCAGGTTTCCCGATATCTAACGCTATTAATAGGCTTTCAGTGTGACTGCCATTTCACTGTGACCCCCTGAACATTCGTAAGTATTGCGAGTACTGTGTCAAAGACTGTAACGTTCGGGCACTTTAGCTTTAAGAACAAAGGAGAGGATGTAATTGTTGGAAGCACAACAGAGATAAAATATTCTTTTGTAATGAATGAACATCAAAGGTCAGGTTTCTTCATGGAAGGGATACAATGAAGAATGTGGAGAGGGCAGAGTCACTGAAGATTTCTTAAAAATCATGCAGTGCGTACATCGGCATTGTGTAATAAATTGAATACAGTGATCGTTTTGCCAAGAAATAGAATTTTGTGTCAGGAATTTTAGACCTGTAGCAAGGAGAAGGAGAATTTGGGATGCTTGTAGAATTACATTACAGGCAAAATACATGGTCTTTACGTACAATCCGATGTGTTTAAAAAAGAGAAGTCTTTAAGTAGGTGTAGATCCGCAGTCAGCAGGATATTTTAGGGCCAGTTATTGGTGGCCCTCACAAAGCGGGTACTTCGACTGGCCCTAAAATATCCTGCTGCTTAAACCCACTGTTCAACCTGTTTGTTAAATGTAAATCGTTAGGGGGGTTGCGTTGTTCTTTTTCATTGTTGTTTAAATTGGGGCCCATAAATGGGTATGGCTATAAAAGGCTATTCAACAAAGTATATATTCTTGGCTTAAAAAATACACCAGCGGTTTTGGAAATGTGTTTTAATAATGGTTCTGTAAAAACAGTAGGAAAATATTTTTCTCCGTTGCAAAATGCTGTGCTGCTTAATCACGCACCGAACTCACGGCCACCATCCCAGAAGCATTAGTATTGGTTCGATTTATTTTGTTTCTTGTGTTAGCTTTCCGCTTTGCCCTTCCTTTGCTCTGTTCATGTTGGTGTTTTTCTCCTTTCCCATCTCCTTGGCACCTCAAGCACACACCTGAACCTCTTTTCGTGTACAAGCTCTTGTCCATTCCTTTTTTTTTTTTTTTTTTCCTCTTTTCTTCTGCGTTCTTGCTGTCACTGAGCACACTAGCTTAGCGAAATAACTTATACCAGAACTGATGTCATAGTATTTACCTTAATTTAAAAAAAAGGATACATTTTTTTCTTTCCTTTGATTATATAAACCTCTTATGAAATATTTAATTTGCTGTATCTATCAGATTTTTGGTAAAACTGTGTACCAGTCAGTGACAAAAGTGTGCTTTGTTTATTTACAAAAATCCAACATCTGCCTGTGAATGGCTTTATTTTTATGAAGAAACCACTTAAAATTGGCTTTTCAAATTTACAGCTTTTTTTGAGAATTAGTTCAGTGGGTTGGAGCTTTCCATTCTGATAAGTATTATCAAGCTGCTGTTATATGCAGAATTAGGGAAACATGTGAGTTAGTTCTGGATAAATGGGCAGCTGCTTTGCAGTATTGGTTAATCTTCAAAGAATAGGATGTAGAAGTAAACCTCAGCAACGAATCATTTGTCTTCATAGGTTTATTTGGCTATTTGCAGTGGTTTACAGTGGACAAACGGGCTGTAAGCAAGCTGTTCGAATGACTTTACTGCTGGGATGGTGGAGATTCCACCTTCCCATGATACAGTATAGTGTACAGCATTGCTGCGTAGGAGCTATGGGGGAAAGGTAAAAAACTAGGACAGCGCATCACAGGTGTGCTGCTCCACCAGCTAAGATCTGAGATAAGCTAATTTCAGCAGAAGTTATGGTGTCTCTAAATATGTGTGCTTACATTTGGATTTATAATTTTGATACTATAAAGCGTAGTTTCTTTAGGTATTTCTTCATTCTGAATTTAAGTTTATATATATGGTGAGAACTTTTACAAATTTTTCATTAACAAATAATGAAAATAGCTGTTTTCCTGATGTTACCAGCTGCTTAGAGTTAAGAACAACTAGTTACAAATAAAACGTCTTTTCTATTACATTCTGCTATAA